CTTTTCTATAAATATTTTCATGGTAATTGTTCGGATAACCTCTTCGTCATTTTACCTGAACTTTATGAATTTACGCGCAGTACAAGATTAGCAATTAGGTCTCACCAATTCACAGTTGAGTTGGTTAGATTTAACCGTAAGTTCTACGCTAAAAAGTTTATTTTCTCTTGCTTGTGCAACATTTTCAGGTTCCATGCTTTCTCCAGTTAACTTTGATCTTTAAAAATTCAACTGCAATGTCAATCGTTATCTACTGTCCTCTCGATTACTCTTCTATTGTTCTCGCTACTTAATAATGTTTCTCTTTTCCTTGTTCTTTTCACAGAGTAACCCCCTGTGTCTTTGTGGCTTTATTGTCTTCCATAAGGTAATATGATTAAAAAAAAAAAAAAAGAAAAAGAAAAGATTCTTCTTATCCTAGAAATTCAGGTTGAGATTAATCTCCGAATTTGAAATTACAGCAGTTCCTAGTTGAAGATTTAATTAGGCGCAACGATAAGAATTACAAGCTTCTTCTTCGGGACGTAGGCGATCTTGGCGCTATACATCCTCCTGTCCCTTGTAGCTCTGAATATTTATTGTCTTTACGTACTGCTTTCTTCTGTCTCGCTTTCCTTAAATCTGTCCTGTGAGTTTAGGCTTAATAAACCTTGGATTCAAAGGCGCACGAAAATACACAGCCTGAGATCTTAATCTTCAAAAATGTAAATGCCATGTCAAAAGATGTTTTCGTTTTGAGAAAGTACGACTTCATGACAAACACTCATAAGCAAGATCTATTGAAAACGAAAATTCGCGCAGAATAAGAAAGCACAATAATAATAATAATATCAATAAAAAATAATAACAATAATAATACTAAAAAGTGTTAACAGGTTCATGTTTCGTCGTGAAGTAAGATGTGCCATAATAAATATCTTATTCATTTCTTTGTAAGTAGGCTGACATTAACCACTTGGACACGTCTCCTAGGGGGTTGTACGCCATCGATTGGAAGCCATCTTAGCACGATCTGAACGTAATTCTAACTATGACCCTCCTACAAGGTTATGTGATGATTTAATGAAAACCTCTCATCATATCGAGCACATTTACCTATGATGCATGTACCTGCTATACACTTATCAGACGGGGTATCATGGTGGGTATATTGGGCTTAGTATATTTTTACACGAACGTCAATTCCTGGCGTGTTGCTCGCTCACTCGATAACCGTTCTGATCCATCACTTAGATCGATCGCAGTCGACATGAAAGCGTCGTTGTGTTCTTAACGACCTTTTAATTAACTGCATAGTGCATCGCCAGAGCTAGATACGATTTTAAATTCAAAATTCTCATTCTATGCTGCTTGTAAACTGCAGACAGAGAGACTAGTCTGCTTTACTATTTAACCCATAACTGAGGGAAGAATAGCCGAATTAATACCTTTTTCCCAAGAGTATTTACGCGAAACTCGACTGGCATTCGAACAGGTCTCGCTCAGTTCACATTCTAAACCACTATCGATTACACCATCCGTGCATCTAAATAATAATAATGATAATAATAATTAATAATAATAATGAATTGTGCAAACTACTCAAAAATTTATTATGCAAACTAATGGTGCATCTTAGAAAAAAATCAGATCATTCTACGGTGGTTTGAAATTCAAAGCGGTCACCCACGCCGGTCCAGGAGGTCTCCTGGACTGGCGTGACCGCTTTGGTCTTGCATTCGTAAACAAAGAGAAGAAATTCTATCCAATAGTGAATTTCGCTGTTCCAGCAAAAATACAGTGAAATTATGAAAGTAAAACGCCACATAATTATGACAGCCTTGATCGAAAACTAAAAAAAAAAAAATGAAAAAATTGGGAATATGAAAACAATGACTGTACCCATCATTGTTACTGTTAGTAACCATCGCGAAAAAAAAATTGAGAGAATCGGAAACCTGAAAAATAGTTTAAAATTATCCGAGCATAGCCCACAATAATACTGAGGAAAATATATAAGTAGTGAGAAAGCTTGTTGTCACTCCACTGAAACTGAAGTAGAAAATAGGAATCGGAAAAGTGTATGGATATCAGTTGTCAGCTGATATCTTGTTAAGGAAACATTTGAAGAATGTTACAGAAATCATTTCGACGATTATTGTCATGACAAAGAAGATCAACTAAGTGAAGTGGACCTCACAAGAACCAGGGCAAACAACCCTAAAAACGAAGCTCAGTTGAGTGGCGCGGAAATGATGAATGCTTTTTTAGACGAAAGCTGACAGGACAAACAAAGATTGTATTCTATAAGCCAGTGGTTACTAGCAGCTTAAGACAGAGGGCCGTTCGCTCGCGATGCAATAGGGTGTTATTTTCCATGTAGTAAGCCACAAGCGTTCGACTGAAAGAGGCAGCACGCTGAACGAACCTGGAATCTAGTCTGAGCTGCAACCCTACAAAAAGAGAACTAGTAAAAATTTAAAAAATGCGCTCTTTTCAAGTTGCGCCATTTTTTAATTTCAATATACCTTTCGTCACGTTCTTTCATAGCTTCCCCCATCCTTTATTATCTGCGAATGATAGACATATAGATAGATAGAAGGAGGGAGAGACCGAGAGATGGACACACTGGGATAGATATAAATAGACAGACACAGTTTATAAGCAGATTTAGATAGACAGACAGACAGATAGATAGATAGATAGATAATGAACATAGATAGATATGATCAGAATGAGATAGATAAAGAATAGATAGATAGATAGATAGATAGATAGATAGATAGATAGATAGATATGAATACACTGGAACAGATATAGACTGAGATACACATATAAACAGATTTAGATAGATAGATACACTGTTATAGATATAAATAGACAAATACAGATATAAGCAGATTTAGATAGATTTATAGGTAATGAACAGAGATAGATAGGTAGATATATATATATAGAGAGAGAGAAAGAGTGTGAGTGACTTAATTCTGAATTGTCCTTCTTGTAACTGGCTCGAGAACCCAGTCAGCCCTGATAATTCTGCTCATTTCTGACATAGAATACATCGATTCATGCTTTTCTCAGGGGCAAGAGTAGGAAGTTAGCGTAAAAGGCTCAGTCAGTATTTAAATTCGGTGTTGTCGATTACGTTTCCAGCACATACTCAACAACTAATTACCACGGAAGTGATGCATGTAAAAACGTTAAAAAGGAAGTACAGAAATATTGATACCTATGTTTCGTGGGCCTATGTTGAAATACGACAACAGGAAGAATTCGAAATTTACTCCTTCTCTTCCTAACAAATAAGACAGAAACGTCAAAATAAACTTGGCAAACAGCTATCGAAAATGACGTCCAAGGGGCCAGAAATGGCTTGTAAATTTTGTAAGTACATTGTTCTCGTCAGAATCTATGTTGCACCTTTATGAATCTACTATTCGTCTGCGCATTGAGTAATATCGTATCTTCTTTGGTGCCCTTGCTATATATCTCAAGATTCTTGACTCTTCCATTGAATGTTCTTAGTGCCTTGACTGCATGAATTTAAGCGTGTTATTAGACTGACAACACGGTCTCGCCGATTTACAGTTGTACTAGCTAAATGCCACCGTATTTTCTATTATAATAGCTTCTTTTCACGCACTTCTCGAATGCGGAACATTTTTTAAAAAATATAGCTGTCATATCTATCCTTGTACCCCTACTGTATATCTCAAGATTTTTGACAAAATTCAAAGTAATATCTATAATGAAATCCCGACATCTCGACTTCAGTCACTTTCTCACCGACGTGACGTGACTTCCCTCTGTCGTTTCTACAAATATCTTCATGGTAACTGTTTTGATTGGCTTCTTTTTTATCTTAGTGTATCGACTGCATGTGTTTAGGCGTGCTACTAGATTGGCAGTTAGGTCTCAACGTTTTACTTTTGAACTGACTAGATGCAACTGTCTCTTTTATTCTAACAGTTTCTTTTCTTGCGCTTCTCACCTGTGGAAACCTTTTCCGTTTTTTTGCTTCCCTAGAATCTTTAAAAAGTTTAATGCAACGTCAATCGCCATCTTCTGTCTTCCTGAACCCTGTTCCTTTTTTGTTTTCTCCTCACTAAAGTCTCTCTTTTTTCTTTCAGTCTCTGTAGCCACTTGAAGAACTGACTTGACTTGTATAACGAGATTATTTCCACAAAGTTTAATAATATGTGCCATGCAGACGACACTATCTTGAGGGAAGATTCCAATCGGAAAACGAACTGTTAGACAAGGTATTCGGTAAAAGCAAAGGGGAAGAACAAATTATTATCTGCAAGAGGATGGAATGCAACAAAAAGGAACAACGCCTCGCTTTAATTACATATCGGGAAAGGAAATTCGAAGCAAACGCGGAAATTAACTGAGTAGTGGTATAAAACACAAACAGAAAACGTGATACCAGCACCGGCCAAAGCATAGGAATAGCGAAAGATACCTTTCAGAAATTCAGTTTTGGAATACCGAATAACGTCTTTCTAAACAAAGACAATATTGCTTAACTATTATGTAATATCTAATAAGGCAGTGATTGCTGGATAACTCCACGACAAAAGAAAAGATTGGTATTGATCGGGAAGTTGTTAAAAATTTCATGTGAAGAAACGAAAATGTTTTTAATTCTATTGATAAAAATAAGAGATAGCTGAATGTTTTGGGGTGCACAATAAGGAAAGAACACTTGGAAAATCTAACACTCACATGGCACATCGAAGGCAAGAAAAGGAGGGGGCGGAAACGGTGAATAAGTTACTTCAGAAATTCCAGTAAATGAATATCGGAACGAGTACCAGGGGTAGGAGGGAGTAAGAATTATTCAGAGGATTAACACGGAAGAAGTTGTGGAGAGCCTTAATCATTTACATCCGGAAAAACATGATACACAAAGAGATAGATAGATAGAACATACTGAACTAGATAAATAGATAGATAGTGAACAGACTGAGATACCGAGATAGATAGATAGATAGATAGTGAACAGACTGAGATACCTAGATAGATAGATAGATAGATAGATAGATAGATAGATAGATAGATAGAGAACAGACTGAGATACCTAGTTGATAGATAGATAGATAGATAGATAGATAGATAGAGAACAGACTGAGATACCTAGTTGATAGATAGATAGATAGATAGATAGTGAACAGACTGAGATACCTAGATAGATAGATAGATAGATAGATAGTGAACAGACTGAGATACCTAGATAGATAGATAGATATATAGATAGATAGATAGATAGTGAACAGACTGAGATACCTAGATAGATAGATAGATAGATAGATAGATAGATAGATAGATAGATAGATAGATAGTGAACAGACTGAGATACCTAGATAGATAGTGAACAGACTGAGATACCTAGATAGATAGATAGATAGATAGATAGTGAACAGACTGAGATACCTAGATAGATAGATAGATAGATAGATAGATAGATAGTGAACAGACTGAGATACCTAGATAGATAGATAGATAGATAGAAAGAAAGAAAGATAGCGAAACTGATTTTTAAGACAATCTGACATGCTAATTACAATGTGGAATTACCGAAATCCAGCAAGTAAAAAGCATTAAATACATAGAAAGTATTTTAACAGGTTACAAAAATTTTAAAAAAATTGAACGCCCAAATACGAATGTGCCCTGCGATCGCGAATAATGTTTTCTAAAATACTAAGTACTAAGTACTAAGTGACAAGAAAAGAATGCTGAATTTTCATGTAATATCAGTCCTCCTATATAGTAGTAAATACTGGACAATGTTCGCACAGATGAAGAATAGACTTGAAGCAACACAAATATAATTCTACAGAAGAATGTTAAGAATAACATGGACTATTTGAGCAAAGACAGAGTTTTAGAGAAAATGGAAACAAAACAGACACTTATATTTAATAGAAGAAAGAAACAGATGAAATTTGTAGGGCATATAATAAGAAAAGATGACTATAGAATATTTGACACCCACAGAAGCTATTGAAGACAAAGAGGACAGAGAAAAAAAAAGTATAACTTACCTAAGGGTATTGTTTAAATGGTTTGTAGAACAGGGATTAGTATAGATAGCAAGGAGAGAAAATTTAATAAGAGCTACAAATAGCAAGAAGTTTTGGAGAGCCATGATCGGCCACGTTCTGAAGGCAGATGGAAAATTTTGGAAGAAGATATTTGTTGCTTAGTTGATTTTACGGCTCGTTAAAATTTTTGGATTATTTAATGTCGAATTTCCTTTGGTGAACCCAGTGAGTATTGAAATCACAAGTCAGTCTTAATGGTCCATCAGATTGAGTTATGAGATATATTTTTGAAAGTTGCAGATTTTCAGAGCCTCTAATTAATCCTAACGCGTTGTATACAGTGTAATTCAATAGCAGTCGCAATTACTTCCGGACTGTAAGCTAGTGTAACCTGTGGGTTCATTTGGACACTTTCAGCCTTAAAGTGTTAATATTTACCCCCCTACACACCGTGGTGTCTTGTCTAGATAGATAGACTGGTTTAATTTACAGGATATGAACTCTTTCATGTTTATTTAATGTTGAAGTTTATATGAAGCTATAAACGAGGTTCGAACTCACCACAGCACTTGCATCACTTAGCATTAACACAAACCAAGGCGTCTCAAAGTAGATAAGCTTTTTGCATTTGTAACATTGGGGCATCGCCGTCATCCACAACCACCTGACCGTAAATATTGTTTTATTTAATGTTTATACTTATAACGTTTCATAAAGATTGTATAGGAATTTTTCACAGTAAGCGTTGTAAAGCCGATAACAAGAAGATTTTTTTAATGCCTTGTCCTTTCAGATCCATTCTCTTTATCATCTTTGAATTGCTATCCATTCTTAGTGTTGTAACCGAGGGAATAGTATAATCAAACGAAGGTTGGTAATGAATGATAATACTTAGAACAAGAACAACACATATAAGATTCGCCAGCGGCGCGTAGAAGTAGTCAAGTGAATTTCACAACGAATCTCCAACTCCAGACCAACATACAGTATTTACTCCTGTATTTATGTGAATGGGGATATAACCATTATCGTTCGTAGGTATGCTACCTCACTTAGAAAAGATATTGGAGTGGTTACCTGATGTCATCTTCACAGTTTGAACTTCAATTTTCTTTCTCCTAGACTGGTTGTTAACCAAGGCTAGAGAGATGGTTTTACATAGTTATCTAGCTGGTGGGGATTGGAACAGACGGATTCATGCCTTTCCCAATGGCGTTAGTGAGAAAGGGAATGCAACAAAGTAGTTTGAAATTTAAGTTCGGCTCGCTGAATCCTCCTTCCTCGCCGGCATCCATTACACTACAAGCAAACTTAAAGAATTTAAGCATAGTACTAAATTGGTAGTTAGATTTGATTATTTTACTACTTTAATTGTACTTTGAAACCGTAAGTTCTATTCTAATAGATTCTTCTCCGCTGGGAAACTCGTTTACGTTTTCTTGTATTCCTGCCAACTACGGTCTTCAAAAACTGAAATGCAGCGTCAGTCGTTATCGTCTGTCTTTTTCAATTCTGTTCTTTCTACTCAAAAACGTTTGATTATTTTCAGTCACCCTCATTAATCACGTGCGTCTTAGAGGATTTATCGCCTTGCTTTGGGTGAAATAATTAAAAAGCGACAACATTGTGTTTATTTTCTGTAAAACAGTTACGAGGCTCACGCCCCTTCCCTTCCTTTTGAAATAGATTAGAGAGTTATCCCTTGCTGTTTACGATTGGGTTTCCAATTCCTTTTAAATTCTCCATTAACTATATACTTCTAACGTATCTGCTTGAACTCTCAATTTTATTTCTTTCACGATTTATTTCATTTTTTTCTCCTCCGCCAATAGGAGTAGATAGGTTCGCCTATCACCCGGTTCATACTCCTCCCCGTATTTTGAACAGGAGTAGAGTTTTATCCCTTGATTCTTGTTTAGGATTGGGTTTCCAGTTCTTTCTAAAGTCTACTTCAGCTCTATACTTCAAACGACGCAGCTTGAATTCTGAAATTTTATTCAGTAATTAAATCTTGACGCCTGCAAGTCTAGAATTAGCTGTTGTCTTTACTGAAAGACCCCCAAGAGCTTCCTTTATTTCTCGTGCTTACGCTAAAGTGCGGGGTTGTAACTCCGCACTTTCGCCCTCTACCTTGAGTGGCTCTCAGACCTAGTACCGGGGGAATATTAGTAAAAATAAAAGAAGACCAACTAAAATTATGATACACATACACACAAGAATTATACATACGAACGCTACCTGACAAGAGAAATGTACGTGAGATCTACTTAACTAGTGAAAAAAAGCAACACAAAAATAAAAAATCATGTCTATATTTGACTGATGTAAAAAAAAAAGACCCGGATAGTACAAATAAAATATATTAAAACAAATTGGTATCCTTGGAAAAATTTTGAAAAAAAAAAGAAAATACTAAAAACATCCAAATAGACCGAAAAAAATAGCCCAGTGTCATAATTTCTAGTCCAAAGAAAACAAAAAACAAAAAAAAAAAAAAACAAAACAAAAAAAACAAAAGAAACAATCGAGTAAAATAAGAAAAAAGTAAAGTGCTCAATACACTAAGCAGAGCAGAGTATAAAAATCCTAGTGAGCCAGAAACTACCTACCTGTTTTCAGCTAAATGGCTCTTCAGGGTTAGAGCTTGAAGATCCATTTAGGTGAAACCTCGGTAGGTAGTTTATGGCTGACTAGGATTGTATATAGAAGTAGAATTAGATATATATATATATATATATATATATATATATATATATATATATATATATATATATATATCGGGCATTTGTATTGGGTGATCATTAGTAAAAATAAAAAAGTAAGCAATATTTCCCAACGATTAATGACAAATTTACAGTGCAAATACTTCATTTTAGTTCTCTCGTGACAATTTTTTATGCTTGGCTTTCTCTTCCCGTTGAAGTCGTGTGCAGAGTTATTTAACTTTATACTCAGCCAATTCTTAACAAGTGTCCTTTGATTTGACTGGTTATAGGGCAGTGAAATGATGAGGTCCATGGACGAGGTCGCTTAGATGTGTTCAAGAGCCCTAAGTTTCGTCTTTCTCCTTGGGTTGAGTAGCATGCGGGTGTATGTGTACGTGCCAGTGTTTGTGTGTGTGTGTGTGTGTGTGTAAGAGAGAGAGAGAGAGAGAGGACCACTCGAATCTGGTGAAAGAGTAACCCTTAGTAACCTGGGCATCTGACATTAATTGTTGGCGCTGATGAGGAGAAATGATATCATTTGGTTAGAAAAAGAAAGAAAAAGTCACATATATCTGTCTGCATATGGTTGCTGAAAAATTCTCGGCCCGACGAAGTTCCCCAAGTCAGTACTTGGAAGACGAAATGAAATTTCTATTGAAAATCTACAAGAAACTTGAGAAAAGATAAGCCAAATGTGTTGAATTGCAGAGTGATTATGTGGAGGATCATCTCTGTTTTATGATTCGAGGTCATTTTGATTTGTGAAGCTGAGAATCTTTAGCAATGTAGGTAAATAAAATTATATATATTATTAAATTAAATTATTCATGCATTTCTCCCTCTCTCTCTCTCTCTCTCTCTTATATATTAATATTAGCTGTTTTCTTATAAGGAAACATTCGATATTCGTTGGTTGAACAGCCAGTACAACCGTCGGATGAAATATATAAAATCTTTCCCTTGAAATAATTTTTCAAGAAAACAGTTTTATCAAGTCCAGTATCTGTTTTCGCCCGATCCACTATTGATGGGGGTTTCCTTTCTAACCTTTTGTTTGTAGTGGTGTGGAACGTTAACATCTTGATGATGACATTGTTTTCTCATCAAGTTATATGTGCTCTCCTTTTAGTTTTTATTGTTTGTTTGTGATTCTGCAGCGCCAGTTCACGGCGTTCCACGACCTTTATTCGCTCGAAGCAAAATTTAAGGACTGTGCTGAAAACAGTTGTATTGCGTATATATATATATATATATATATATATATATATATATATATATATATATATGTAATAATACGTTATACACACGCACATATATATATATATATATAGTTTTAAGGTATGCTATATTTATGTGATAATTGTAGTCAACACTCAGAGGAGACAGACTGTTTCATGCTAGACGCAATAATCAGACATGAAGCAGTCTGTCACCTCTGAGTGTTGACTTCAATGTTCACTTATCTATCTATCTATATCTATATATATATGTGTATGTGTGTGAGAATAATACTACTAAATGAAGAAATTCATGCTCTGATTGAAAAGTTGTCAGTAATTTCTAGCATTTTGCTGTACATTTTCATATATATATATATATATATATATATATATATATATATATATATATATATATAATTCATCGAATCGAGAAGAATCCTTAACAGAATGAACTGGATGGCCTTTTCGTCCTACTTTTGAGATTTATCAGCAGCGTGCAGCAGCTACCGAAAATCGAACGCGAAACGTTACGATATGGCGCAAGCGTCATACCCACCTGACCAACGTGCTCGGTGACGGAGAGGTAAAACCTTAAAAAATTCCGTCGTATGACTCAGCTGAGTCTACTTATACCAAGGGATGTGTTTCCATGAGTCACGTCTGACATCGCCAAGCCCCCATCCATCCTGAAGGGATTATATATATATATATATATATATATATATATATATATATATATATATATATATATATATATATATATAATACAAGGTATTTGAATAATCATATTCATCGAGTCTAGATCTAGAAAAATCCTTAACAGAATGATGAAAGCACTAGACGGCCATTTTTGTCTATTTTGGGGACTCATCGGCAGATGATGAGTCCCCAAAATAGGACGAATCACCGTCCAATGCTTTTAGCATTCTGTTGAGGATTTTTCTAGACTCGATGAATTATGATTATTCAAATACCCCTTTATATATATATATATATATATATATATATATATATATATATATATATATATATATATATTTGCATGTATGTATAATGATATAAAAGACCTCTGTTCAATTTTATATTTACACAGGCTATTTCTCTGATATTGAGCACTTTATTCCATAAATATAGCACATCTTAAGACTATACTTCCTCATATATATATATATATATATATATATATATATATATATATAATTGTGTATTTGGGCAGCAATCTCTCTTTTAGCGAAGTTTCATTAAAGACGACTAATAAGTTACTCCTATTAAGCTTTTTATTAACATTTTTTTTTGTGTTCGTATAAATGTTTTCTTTTCTGGAGATAAAAACTGACCAAATGTTTTATATATCTGATCTTTTACCGTTATTCTATCATGATTAGGGATGACTGTTTAAAATTTTTTAACTGGTTGGGTAGAATTTTTATCTATGCATCTAGAATCTTTTTTATTTTCTTTTAATTTTCAAGTCAGTACATTGTGGCTGTGTGCATAGTTATTTAGTATTGGTACTTTTCTTTTTTATAATCCCTTCTTCTGTTATTTTTAACCTTTTTGTACATGTGAATGAGGTTATAATAGTTGTATTTTCTACGAGTATGCATTTAAATGAGTCCTAGTTGAGCTGCGATCAAAGAGATGTAACGTGTATCCTCATGATAGGCACGTTGTGGTATGTCCAATATAATTATTTCTAAATTTAGTTTGATTACCAACGCAGTTTCTAAAGGCACATGCGAATTTATAAATAACTAGAAGCATGGCCCGGCGTTGCCCGTGCTTGATTGAAAAATCGTACGACTCATACAGCACTGCACGCACTAACCTGTTTCTTCCCGCGCATAGCGTGACCTTAAATTAATCTGCATTTAGGAATTACCCAACCGGAAAAAACATTTTTAAGGGTTGACTGATTGTCCATTTGCACTCTGTTTGGGGGGGTGCTCAGAGTTGAAACTTCACATGGTGACTCCCAATGGCCTCCTCATAAATCCGATCGGTTTTCGCTAAAAACCGACATGCGGTTCATGTGCAATCTGGGCGTATCGGCTTTTGAGTTTTATCGATTGTCCGCGCTGTTTAGGGGTCCGTGGTCATGAAACTTCTGGACAACACTTCTAATGGTAGACTCTAAGAGGGTGTCAAATTTGGTTGAAATGCGATAATTCCTTCTGTAAGGAGATTTTTTTCGATTATCGATTTTTTCGATTATCGAATTTTTCGATTATCGATTTTTTCGATTATCGAATTTTTCGATTATCGATTTTTTCGATTATCAATTTTTTCGGAACCTGAGTCCGAACTGAAAAATCGGGCTCCGTCATGTCCTTAAGGCAGCCATTTGCAAACTTGTGGTGAAAACAGCATAGAAATCAGGTGAGAAATGCGGCCTGGGCGAGGTAACAACGCCCACGACAGACACACAGACAGACAGCATTATTGATTTTTTCGGAACTTGAGTCCGAACTGAAAAATCGGCTCCGTCATGTCTTTAAGGCAGCCATTTGCAAACTTGTGGTGAAAACCGCATCGAAATCAGGTGAGAAATGCGGCCTGGGCGAGGTAACAACGCCCACGACAGACACACAAGACAGACAACATGAGAAATATAGATAGTAGATATTGGTTCTCTGTAATTTGGTTCTTGCAAGTGTGTTGTTAGTGTTGACGATAAAATTAACTGTTTTATTTTTTTTTATAGTAGATAATTAATTTAATTATCTTGTTATGGGCGACTGGGGTCGTATATTCCTTTATATTGTTTCTAAGAGACAATTCATGCTGCTTATAGTTAACGTATATTTGAGTTTTATCAGCATCATAATTTATTCAGTTGCACCCTTTGCACCGCTGTTGCAATTGTGGTTCATGGTGAGATTCAAAGCAAAATAGTGCAATGGATAACTTTAAACGAGTGATGCTGTGGTTGCCTTATCCTCCCTTCCAGAATTCCCCTTCCCACTGATAAAACAGTTGACCACTGAGGAGCAGCCCCTAACCCCCAGGCTTTCAACTCGCCGTTTGGCACGTCTGTGTTGCAGAAAGGCGTTCCCTTCACCGGTCCGGTTGGGAGACTCTTCCGATTATCCTCACGCAGTTTAACCAATGCTACCTTTTGGAGCCATGTGCAAGAATTGTATGTAGGCCGTGGGAGAGTAGGTCGCAATTAACAAGCAGGGACTTGAAGAGCATAGCATATAATGAATGTGTGCTCATATTATATTGGTACTAAAAATTAAAATAAAATCAATGAATAGAATGAAATAAATTGCATAGGCGATCTCGTTCCCAATAGACGCTATACATGACGTCACGCTAGACTAATTAAAACGTCCAGATTCCCAAAGTATACCAGAAAGTAGACAAAGGAATTCTAAGACCCACACGGACACCATCTTGGTTCTTGATAATGTCTGTGATAGTCAAAAGTATATGAACAAAAATAGAGGACTATATATATATATATATATATATATATATATATAATTGTGGAGGACTATATGTATAAATATAATTGTTGGTTATTGGAATTTATTCCGTATATACGAATTTGGGGTATATATATATATATATATATATATATATATATATATATATATATATATATATATTTTTATAACAAAAAACAATAATGACCTCAACATAGGAACACTTAGGGGCTAATGATAGCTGCTTACAGACAAGCTTGGAATAGACTATTCCTCCATGTTGAGGTAATTTTATTTTTTAGCTGTAAAAAATATGCCCTGTTATAATAAATACATCGAGCTCTCTGTAGCTTAGTTTTAATAATTAATATTACTGGGATCCACCCGGATTATATACCAAATGATCTATTACTTACTATATATATATATATATATATATATATATATATATATATATATATATATATATGTATGTGTGTGTGTGTGTGTGTGTGTGTGTGTGTGTGTGTGTATGTGTGTGTGTATGTATGTTTTGTAGTCCCTAGTTTTTGAGCTTTTAAATGCACATAAACACTGTGAAAGTGTAAAAATAGGTTTTAAAATCAGCAATAAATTTTTTGAGGAAAAATTATTACCAACAATACATTTCGGAAAGAAAGAAATATTACCAGCAATACATTTTTGAAGAAAAATATATAACCAGCAATAAAAAATCACCCATTGAGGTTGATATACCGTAAAATAGAACAAACCAAACAGAACCGTTATCTTCCCCTCCTTTCTGTACAATTTCTATTACAAGCTGCTTCCTAACGTAACCCTCTACCTCGAGTGACCCCCGGACCTTGTATAGGGTGAAACTGACTGTAAAAAAAAAACCAACAAAACCAAAAAAAAAAAAAAAAAAGCAACAGCGGTTAATTGCTTGTCTTACAAAGAAAATCAACGTTCAAAATCATGCATTTTATTTGGGCTTGAACACTGAACCTCAGCGCCTGTTGTGAAGCTAACATTAATTCAGTCAGCCGGGCTGAGCCGTAAAATGTTAATTATTTCTGCCTCAGTGTGTACATATATCAGTTATCAATGTGTAATTTCATCGAAACTGGCGAGTTTCTATTCTGGGATGGCAAGCTTCAGTCTTTAAATAGCTTTTCTGGTCTTCACGTTTGAATTAGATACGATTTCTATTAATAGAGACATTTCCTCGGGCTATCATTTTGACCTTGGCTCCCAACACGCATTCACTCACCACGAAATGCCCGGATTTGACCCTTCGATTTTCTTAATGTACACTTCTCGCTCAGATACACTCTGAGTATGAATCGAACAGGAGAGAAATCGAAGTCAGAAAAGAGAGAGAGAGAGAGAGAGAGAGAGAGAGAGAGAGAGAGAGAGAGGGGGAGAGAAGAGCAGATGGGTAAAAGCGGGTGGGAGAAATGAAGTGGGTGATAGAGACTGAGAGTTAACCTCTGTGAGTGCACGTGATATATATATATATATATATATATATATATATATATATATACACGCTCTATCTCTGATATTAAGCACTTTAATCCATAAATATAGCACACCTTAAGACTATATTTCTTCATATATATATATATATATATATATATATATACAGTGTAACCTGGATATAAGAGACCCGATATAAGAGAAACCCGGATATAAGAGAGATTTTCCTCTGGTCCCAAATTAGAGCCTGTGTTAATGTATATAAATTAGACCAAACCCGGATATAAGAGAAACTGGATATAAGAGACTTCTTCTCCGGTCCTGACAACTCTCTTATATCCAAGTTACACTGTATATATATATATATATATATATATATATTTTTTTTTTTTAATAAAAAATATTAAAAAATTAATATATATAAAATAAAATATATATATATATATATATATATATATATATATATATATATATATATATGGAAAGAGAGAAAAGAAAAGAAAACGTTATAATTAGAGATGCGATTGTGTGGTAGAAAGAGAAAGAGGAGAAAATTAAGAGAAAAAATGAGAGTAAGGGACAGTGGAAAAGATATTGTAAGAAAGAAAAAAGAAGAGAGAGAAAATTAAAGGAGAGTGAGAAAGGATGAAAGAGAGAAGGTGCAAGCGAGAACGAGGGTGATATGTTATGACACCGCGCGAGAGGCGTCGGGAAACGGAGGAACCAGTAGAGGGCTCAGGCCCGAGAGAGAGAGAGAGAGAGAGAGAGAGAGAGAGAGAGAGAGAGAGAGAGAGAGAGAGAGAGAAAAGAAGAGAGAAAGAGCGGTAGCGATAGAAAAGTCGAAAGTGACGATGGAGAATATCAGAGAAGGGATATCCAGAGAAGGGACGGATTCAAAGAGGTGTGAGAGAGATATAGCGAGAGAGCGCAAGTGTGAGATGGCAAAAAGACAGTGAGAACTGTAGAGATAGAGAGAGAAGAGACTTGAGAGAGGGTGGAAAAGAGGAAGTGTAAAAGAGAGTGAAAGATATGGGAAAAAAGCGCGCGCTAGAGAGGGTAGAAAGAGATAGAGAGAAGTGATTTGAAATGAGAAAGAGGAAGAGAGTGTTGAAACAGAGGGTCATAGAGAGGAGATGAGAGAGGGGGGATTGTGCACTCTAGAGAGAAAGAAGAAAGACGTAAGTCATTTGGAGAGAGAAAGAGAGAGAGGAAGAGAGAGAGTAGGAGAGAGAGAATGAATGAGAGAGGACGAGTGATAGGGTGAGATTGTACACCGGTGAAGAGGATTAAATGAACATCTGATTCAACGTTTATTAAAATTACGGTACGGACGGTAATTTGGATGAAAAGAAGAAAAAAAAAAAAAAAAAAAAAAATTTACAAGGTACATATGGAAAAAAAAAGAAAACAAGGGAAATAGAATTTCTCAGAACTTACGTTAAAAAAAACAAAACAGATTTGAACAGAAATATAAAGGGTACGATGGGTAAATCGTCGCCATTTTATATTTCTAATTTTGCGCATGCGCTTTGCTTGATTTTGCCGACTTCACAGCATAATCGAGTTAGTTGGACATCGTCTATGAGAAAGAGAGCACCATGACACAATTCGCTTCACAAAACACCTAATATTTATATTTATCTATATGTAATATTTATAATGCGTGTATTTTTACAGAGAATTATTAAAATTGATACTTACAAGTGGATTTATCAGAAAAAATGTTTTATTTTCTTACTGTCAAAGTATATATATATATATATATATATATGCGTGTGTGTCTGTGTGCGCGCGCGTTTGTGTATGTGTCTGTGCACGAGCAGCGTAGCAGTTATCGGCGCTGAATGTGGTCTTAGCGTGTACAGTTCAAATTACAGCCGAAGTCATTGTTTACTTTTGCACTGATATCCTTAGAATAGGGGAGCGTCCATCTCTTCTGCTCCCAGCTAGGGGTTAATATTGGCAACCAATTTACGAGAAGGAGAACCGGTCGGAGAGAACTGCACCTCATAAACAACTACGTATTCTGTAAACGGCAACACATAATTTGGTGTATATATATATATATATATATATATATATATATATATATATATATATTTGGTTGGATAGATGTGAGTTTGTGACCCTGGGTTTCACGCTTTAGCGATCGTCAGACAATCTGATTAATTTTTTAAAAATTTTGGGTTTATGTAGATGGCGTGTATTGGTGTTATTAAGGAAGTGGTGGGGAATAATAATAAGTATATATATATATTTATATATATTATAATTATATATATATATATATTATAATTATATATATATATATATATATATATATATATATATATATATATATTTATTTATATTTATATACACAGACTTTTCACACACACACATACATATATATATATATATATATATATATATATATATATATATATATATACGCTGTTATCTCATTTTAACGGATGTATTTACCAAAATGACACAAAAATATCTTCAAATACTAAAAAGTAAATTTATTCAATAAAATCGCTGTTGGCTTCAACCACGGCCTCCAGACGACTTCGGAATCTTCCACAACTCTTCTGGACAGTCTCCTTATTTAGGTTGGTGAATGTTGCCATAATCTATGCCTTCGGTTCATCTTTGATGTTACAAGGAGTTTTGTCGGTCTCAATTGCGCCACACACATAACAATCAAGTGGGTGGAGTCTGTGGACTTAGGTGACCGGATGTAAAGATGATGTGGTCGTAGAGATTGTCTGACAGCCATGTCTGGGTTCCTGTGTGGAATGGTTCAGAGGCCTGTTGCCAAAGATAGCCCTTCCAGCAGTTACCCTTGTACCCCAGGACAGCGCTACTCCCTCAAGGCATTTGATATAGGCTTCTGTGTTGAGCCTGAGGCCTTGTGGGAAGATAAATGGAGGCATAACGTCGCCATCACTAGTGATCACTTCAAACACCTTTGTAATCGCCATTAGATTCGTCCAACTCTTTCCGAATCCTCTGCACTGTGTTCAGATTGACTCCAAAATACACTGATGTGTTTGTATTGGAGCTTTCAGCGCAATTGCATGCCGTTTCCAAATTTCTAGCGGAGTGAATTCCCTCATGGTGCTCTTTTTTCTAACAGACGGTGCCCAACTGACCCAACTGACCCAACTGACCCTACTATACTGTGCAGTCGACAAAATCCAAAACAAAACACGCACATGTTTGAAATTAAACATCTAAAATAGAGACTATTTACCCATTGAACTCTGTACACACACACACACACCAATATATGGGTTATGGGCTCGCCTTTGGGTCCGGCACTTGCCAACATATTTGTTGGCTTCCAGGAAGAAAAGATACGAAAGAATCCACTTTGTCCTCAACTGTACTATCGGTATGTTGATGTTGATGACACCTTTTGCTTATTTAACGGTGAAGTTGAGGCTGACCAGTTTCTTTCGTTTTTAAATGGTATCCATCCGGCACTGAGGTTCACTATCAAAAAAGAGTCCAATCATCAATTGGCCTTTTTGGATGTACTAGTACATCGTACATTAACAGGTTTTCTCACTGCCGTTTATAGAAAACCTACTTTCGCAGGGTTATACACGCGTTGGGACTCTTTCTCTCCCACTAAGCGCAAGATCAACATTATTAAAACCCTCCTACACAGAGCATTAAAGATCTGCTCTGAGCCTTTCTTGAACGACGAAATTAACTTTATTAAGGATACCCTATGTAATTTGGGTTATCCTCTTGATACTGTTAATTCAGTTATCCGTAGTAAAGTTGAAGAGTTCAGAAGTGCCGATCTCTACATTGTCAAAAAATGCCCAGTTTACCTCAGATTACCCTGGATTGGTACCAAATGTGAAAAAATAGCTAAACAAATTTCATCCAAGGTTCATCGTTGTTTTTTCTCTGCCGATGTTCAGATTATTTTTCAAACTCGGCCTATGTTTCGATCTGCGTGTAAAGACGTTCTCCCTCCCCATCAAATTAATTCAATTATTTATAAATACGTTTGTAGTTGCGGAGCCAACTACATAGGGAGAACAACTCAGCGCTTAGACATGAGAATAAAACAACACGTTCCTACTAAAATTAGAAACCACACCCTGCCTTTGAATGGACTCGTCCCGAACACCTACAGTTCCGCCATATACGAACATCTATTAAATAGCAGAGATTGTGCAGCCAAATTTAGTGTTGACTGGTTCACCGTGTTGGCCCGGTTTCACTCTGTATTTCATCTGAAGGTTCTGGAGGCACTTTACATCGGGTCCCGCAAGCCTTCTTTGTGCAAACAACGTGAGTGTTTGTTGGGACTCGCTGTCATTTGTCTCTAGTTCCTTCTGCATATATATAAATATATATACATATATTCCTTTTATTGTACATTTTCTGTATTAATTTTGAATCTCCCGTTGAAGCTGAAGAGCGGGAGCGAAACCGGTTGCTTCCCCCTTGTTGTTTTTATTTTTTTTTTAATTTTTTTTTTAATATGTCTTGTAATATTAAATGGAGTAATGGATAGCGGCTTGGATTGAGGAATCGGAGAACCGAGTTCGAATTCCAATCGAATCCATTGCTATCACCCTTGGGAAAGGTGTGAGTCCTCTTCTTCTCCCTCCAGCTATGGGTAAATAGCAGAATAGAATGGTTTCTATAGCCTTGGATGGCAACTGGTCTAGGATAGGTCAACTCTGAATTCAAAACCTGCGGAGGGTCGTTTGGGGACGTTGTCGCACGTAGTGCACCAGGTCTCTGTATTCGGCCCTTCAAAAAGTGTGGATGGTCCTGCATGGTCCTAATCAAATCTCATGCGCTGTTGTCGGTCTGTCGGTTTCTAGGGAGCTGATCTGCTTGACCCTCATACGTCGAATTCGACGGGAGAATCGATTATATATATATATATATATATATATATATGAAAACTCTCATGAAGTCATAAAGTAGAAGTCAGGAATAGAATTGGAACACGTTGATTTAAACAGTATCAGATGCATTTTGCTTAACTGAATGTGCTTTTCATCCAGTTGTAGGCATTGCATTTTGGCAATGATGTTGAGATTCCAGAAAGGGGTAAGAAATAACGCCAGAGACCACAAGTCAGTCACTATAATCTTCTGTTAGTGTAATTTCGGTTTTGAGTAGTGATTGTTTCCTTCGCCATGATGAAGGTATGGAACCGATGGTTGACGAGTGTCATAAAAGGATCGATTTTTTATTATTCGATCAAGAAATGGATCATTCGAATTCCGTACATGTAGCATCGAACACTTTGACTTTCACTAGATAGATAGATCTTATGACATAGTGATTTCGGATTATTCAATGTCGAATTCGGTAATGGACACCCAGTGAACATCGAATTCTGTGTTCAGTATATAATAGACAAAGAGATTAGCTTTAATTAAACATTAACTTGATTGATCGGTCGATCGATCGATAGATAGATAGATATGAAGAGACTGAAATACGTAGATATTAATAGAATATATATATATATATATATATATATATATATATATATATATATATATATATATATATATATATATGTATGTATGTATATATATATATGTAGATAGATAGACATAAACAGACAGATATATATTTATATATAGAAAGAGAGATAGATAAATAGTTGAATAGATAGATAGATATGAACATAGATAAATAGATAGATAGACATGACCATATTGAGATAGATAGATAGATATGAACAGACATAGATAGATAGATAGATAAATAAATAGATAGATATGAACAGAGATACATAGAGAGAAAGAGAAAGAGATAGATAGATAGATAGATAGATAGATAGATAGATAGATAGATAGATATGAACAGACTGAAATAGATAGATAGATAGATAATGTTGGGTGGTTTTATGACATGTTAACCCTTGTTGGGATATTTAAAGGAAGATTTTATGTGAAGGACCCGGTGTGAGTATTTCAGAAAGTGAACAATCGCAGCTCTCCGCAACTTCCTATCCTATGAATCTCACAGTAACGTTTGTCCTTTTACTAGCACTCTAATTCTCTGTTCTGCCAATTATTTTTGCCAGCTCGTTAGGTAAGTTACTCGCTCCTTTTCATCTATCTCTCTTGCATACAATATTCTATGTGGGCCAGATTTTCCGAGCCCTCTTTTCTCACAATGGACCGAGAAATTTCAATTGTGTCTTCCTGATTCTAAGTATAAGCGTCCTTTTGTTTCCATATTCTTTAACGCTTCATCGTTACTTCGCTTCCTTCCGTGGAATCACATTTCTGTTGTCTCTTCTTCATCTTCAAATCGTCTTCAGAACACAGCTCAACAGGAATCAAGTTGAATCTGATCAAAATCCCAAATAAATAAAGTTAAATAAAACCATGTTCGCAACACAATGCTACTTCCGTCGTGACACACATCTGTTTACTTTCAATTCTACATCATTAATAACAGTTGCAGATATAAAAAGAAATTGCTAGAGACTGACAGGTATACAAAAACAATACCATGTCCGGTGCCAAAAGCGGCTGGTGGCGCCAGGGGTGGCAGTACAGCCTTAGACTCCGAAACAGTGTTACCTCCCCTGGTTGACGGCGGACGAGGGAAGAGCATCGTACGTTCTTTCACACGTGATAGAAAAGCTGTTATATGTTTTATGCAAATGCATTTTTCATTAATTTTACTGTAGAAATACCTTGAAAAAAATATTATATAAATGCACTGAAAAGAAAGGAAAGAAAAATAAAAAAAAGAAAGTTTGATTGTTTTGTTTTTTTACGGTGTATTTTGCAGATTATTTAAAGCCAGAAAATATTTTTGCATTGTAAATAGATAATAATGATTTACAGATAAAAATAATACTCATTAACCCATAGATGGTGGGAGAAGAGGTGGATTCACACCTTTTCTTTATCTACCTTTTGCAAGTGTAGATAATATAATAAATGTAGAACAGGCAGGAGGGGTACGAGCGAAAAAAAAAACTGCTACGAATCACTGTGATCCAACGGCATGGAAATATTTAAATGTTACCTATGGATGTTGGGTGCTATGAATTACACGAATGGCCAATCGTTCCCTTCCTTTTGAAGGTGGGTATCAATGACCGGAACTTAAGGTGTCCTTCACATCATCTCCAGCTCAATAGGCATCAAGTTGGATCTGGTCAAGATCCAAAATAAATAAAGTTAAATAAAACCATGCTCTCGACACAATGCTACATCCGACGTGCAATACATGTGTTTACCTTCCTTTCGAACGCTTTGGGTATTTTAAAACAACGTTGAAGATTTCAGTTGCAGTTATAAAAAGAAATCGCAAGAGACTGATAGGTATAAAAATAACACCCTGACCGGTGGTAAAAGCTACTGGTGGCGCCATGGGTGGCAGTACCGCCTTAGCCACTCAAACTGTGTTACCTCCCCTAATCAGCGGCTGACGAGGGTACGGTATGATACATTGTATGTAGAGAATTATTATCTCTAGCCTGCATAGAAAAACATGACTTTTATACAATTACTTACATATAGAAATATTTAAGGTTTTTCAGCTAGGCTTGGAATCAGTCAATTTCTTGAAATATTACAATAACGAGATATTATGTATATACATTTATAATATCTCTATATTTATTTTATATTCACACTTATCTCTCTCTCTCCGTAGCTCTCTCTCTCTCTGTATGTATATATATACACACACACACACACACACACACAGACACATATATATATATATATATGAATGAGACCACAGTTCAACAGGCATCAAGTTAGATCTGGTCAAGATCCAAAATAAATAAAGTTAAACAAAGCCATGATCGCAACACAATGTTACATCCGACGTGAGACACATTTGTTTACTTTCCATTCGACATCATTAATAACGGTCGTTACGATTGCGTTGTGTATTTTAACACAACGTTGAAGATTTCAGTTGCAGTTATAAAAAGAAATCGCAAGAGACTGACAGGTATACAAAAATAACACCCTGTCCGGTGGTAAAAGCGACTGGTGGCGCCAGGGGTGGCAGTACCGCCTTAGCCTCTGAAACAGTGTTACCTTCTTTGGCTGGCGGTTGACGAGGGCAGGGTATTGTACTTGCTTTCACACGTTATATGCAGAGGATTTGTGTAGGTATCCAGCACTCACTAACATATAGGAGAACTGATATTACATGAGAGTTTAGTATACTTTTGTTTGGAGTATCCCCGCGTGAGTTCGAATCTCATCCTCGTCGCCAGTTTGTTGCGGATGTAGTTTATGGTCTTACCCGGGACGCAGATGTAGTTTATGGTCTTACCCGGGTCGCGGATGTAGTTTATGGTCTTACCCGGGACGCGGATGTAGTTTATGGTCTTACTCAGGACGCGGATGTAGTTTATGGTCTTACCCGGGACGCGGATGTAGTTTATGGTCTTACCCAGGACGCGGATGTAGTTTATGGTCTTACCCGGGACGCGGATGTTGTTTATGGTCTTACCCAGGACGCGGATGTATTTTATGGTCTTACCCGGGACGCGGATGTAGTTTATTGTCTTATCCGGGACGGTTTTCTATTCGTATGCAGGCGGTTTTCTAACAGTATAATTTATGGATTATTTAATATCCTCCCGAAATTTCACTCGAAGTTTAATTAGATCTTTGAGCTTCACTTTTTCAGAGACTTGTTATCCATACAGCGAGATCTTTGAAGTGTTTAAGATTTGGAAATTCCATAGTTTGAACTTTTTATGATGGATTCGGGTTAGGTGCCGTCTTTACACTCATTACTAATTCCAGATCTGAGTTACTGACTGAAAGTAAAGTGCTTTTAAAATCCACTATAACCATAATGTATAAACGTCTAAGAAGACTCATTCACTCTTATCGCAATGTACTAATGGAAATATGAAAGCCAAATAAACGCATCAATTATTGAATATGGATCCTGATTAAGAGAATATTTTGTCGTAATCTGAACTGAATCGGAAAATAGAAAATTAATCAAACCCTGACACGGATAATTCAACCTCGAAGTTACATTATAATTAGTAGCGAACAGATCTTTATTTCGACAGTTAAGTCATCATTTGCATTTACTAAGTGTGTTGCAAGGCCAAAGAGGTATGGGAAATAGTTTTGGAAGATTGGGTTGCGTCAAACAGTGTATGTCTCTTTTGTAAATCAGTACCTTATATTCTATCTATCTATCTATCTATCTATCTATCTATCTATCTATCTATCTTCTTCATGTGATCATTAGAATGGTCTATTTCATATCTATCTATCTATCTATCTATCTATCTATCTATCTATCTATCTATCTATCTTCTTCATGTGATCATTAGAATGGTCTATTTCATATCTATCTATCTATCTATCTATCTTTCTTCATGTGATCATTAGAATAGACTGTTTTATATCTATCTATCTATCTATCTATCTATCTATCTATCTATCTATGGATACTATTCTTCGATTTGGCATTGGTTACAAAAACATTTCCGAAATATTTAATGCCTGCTTCCAGAGCTATTAATTGGTGGACGGACATTTGCGTATCTATACATATGCGTCCCTAGACAAATGATTACCCAATCATGTATCACGTATAACATTGATTTAATTCGATGAGATTCTCTTCCGATGGAGAACATTAAAAAATTTCAGAAGACTGATAAAGAACTAAATGTTTATTTCTTAAGACAGACAAAGAATTAAATGAATATTTTTTTAGCAACTTCTACCACCGATAGTTGTATGATCAGCGAAATTAATCATTATTAACCTTGATTTTTAGTGCAATGGATAGCGTCACGAAACAGGAAATCGAAGAGACGAGTTCAAATTCTAGTTAGGTTCGTTATATTCGTTTATACGGAAATACCTTTGGAAAAAGTATGAATCCGCCTTTTCTCCCTCCATCTATAGATTAATTGATAGGACTTGTATCATTAAATTATTATTATCTTACAAAAATTCTCACATATTTTCTGGCTTTAAATAACATGCAAATGATTTTAAAAATCAACCAATCATTTTATAATTTCTATTTAGACTAATTGTAATTTGAACTTAATGGTTCTGTCATTCTAAAAAGAAAAAAAAATAAAGTCCGTAAAAACATGTGATTACTCTGCGCTTTCTCTCTCTCTCTCTCCCTCTCTCTCTCTCTCTAATTTGTCGATCTATCTATATATATATATTATAAAAGTCCGACAATTATTTTAATATTTTTTCTGTTTATAAGTTATTTTTATAAAGCAGTTAAATAAGCGCTCTGATTATAATAAACAGTATTAATTACATTTACCGAATTGAATGTCTGGGAAAGTTCGTCGAAAATATGTGTCCTCCAACAGGAATCGAACCTGACGGGCTTTCAGGCTGGTAAATGTAATTAATACTGTTTATTATAAACAAACGTTAAAGTGTTCAATATCAGTGATAGATCATATATATATATATATATATATATATATATATATATATATATATATATATGTGTGTGTGTGTGTGTGTGTGTAAAATTGTAAATTGAACTCAAGATCCAACGCCGACAGTGAGTTATATCCTTAAACACAATCGCCATATATATATATATATATATATATATATATATATATATATATATATATATATATATATATATATATATATATGTGTGTGTGTGTGTGTGTGTGTGTGTGTGTGTGTATAACTGTTAAAATGAGAAATAGTTTGTTGTATGTATGTTTTATAAAATGTTTTCATTTTTTTTTCAAAACACGGTCAAGATATTAGTGTTGTCAACAAGTATGTTCCGAATAGTGTCCGGTAGGTCTCCATGAATATTTAAATGAGATCTAATAATTCTGTTCATACGTTATTTTTATCGATACAAATATTTAAGTAAATTCTCTGTTTATAATAAACAATATTTACAAGACCTGAATGTCCGAGAAATCTTTATAGAAAATATGTGTCCCCCGGCAAGAATCGAACCTGTGGCAGGACACATATTTTCTACGAAATTTCTCTGTAGCCAAATGGTATGCTATATGACGGTTTCGTGTAGGATACATGCTCGATTCCTATCGGAGGACACCCATTTTCTATGAGATTTCTCGGATATTCAGGGCGGTAAATGGAAAGCAGTTGGTAGTGTAATAACATGGGAAGCAATTGTCGACCAAACTTTTATTAGGTCTTTGAAAACCAATGAAGGTGTTAAACTGAACAGTGTTAACTATTGCGATTTCATGGGCAAGGCGCTCTCTGAATGGTTCCCAACCTTGCAGTTTCCAAGTCTCAACCTTGCAGTTTTTATGTGGGAACACACCTATTCTATAGTTAATAGACTCTCCCACCTATAATAAGAAGGAGTAGTGAGAATAACGTTGGAGTCGGTCAGTCGATGTCGGACGACAGTTAAGTCGAATACTAAAGCATCAGCGACCACAACTAGATTACTCTGCGTTATACCTATTATATTAAGTTCCTAATGTTTTGTACGTCGAACCTATTTTAGGACCGACTTAGTACAAATACAAGCCTCCACTGGGAAATCACTCCACAACACAGTTTCAAAGTGAAGTGTGTATTTATGCGCGACGATGCTTCTTCTCATATATCTCAGGTTACCAGCGACTTTTGAGCATAAAATGTTTATAGGGGAGAAGATAATGGAATGTCTACCAACAAGCTCCGATCTGAATCCGATCAAAAATCTATGGTCAATTGTGAAAATGAAATTATATGAAGGTAGCAATTAACATGACAGTAAAGCAGACCTATGGGAAGCAACTAAAACCACCAAGGACAAAATTTAAATATTTTAAGAAATCTCCTAGGCAAACTTCTCTTAGTAAAGCAAATATGTTAAAACATCAAAATTGGGCCAAGATCTACATGAATATTAACTCTTCCTAAGTAATTTTCACGGATGAATTTCGGGTAACAGTCGATAGACTTGATCGATGGGCCAAAGGATAGATTTTATCCGATGCAGACGTGCCTGTGGCTAAACGAAAGCGGCAAGGAGGTGGCAATGTGTTGGTGGCTGGAATTATCGACTAAACCATGATTGGTCCATTCAAAGTCGATGAAGACGTTAAACTGAATAGCTCTAACTATTGCGATTCCATGGGCACGACTTTCTTTGCATGGTACAAGTCCTACCTTCGCAGTTTCAAACTGTTTATTTATGCATGACACTATTCCTTCTCATGTATCTAAGGTTACCAGTTACTCTCCTGTAAAAGGTCTACAGGAGAAAAATATTGGAATGCCTACCAATAGGTCCCGATCTGAATCCGATAGAAAATCTATGGTCAATTGTGAAGATGGAATTATATGAAGGTAGCAATTAACATAACAGTAAAGCAGACCTATGGGAAGCAACTAAAACGACCATGTCGGAAAATGAACCTACTGAAGTAAAATATTTAACAAAATTAATCAATAATAGATTGTTGGCTTTTATTGAGAAGAAGAGTCACGATATTAAGATATAAGTGCTTTAAAGACTCAACATATATGTTATTTGTTCTATTATATGTGTTGATTTTGTTACCGTGTTATTGAAGTAAAATGTGATAATCTGGTTTTGTATAATAACTTCAGACTGCAGTCTTTATAATAAATCCAGTAACTTTAATAAACGTTGAAACTACCTAAATATTTAACCTTCTAAGCAAACTTATCTCAGTAAAGCAAATATGTTAAAACGTCAAAATTAGATCTACATGAAAATTGACTCTTCTAAAGTAATTTTTACGGATGAATTTCAGGTAACAATCAATGGACCTGATCGAATGATCAAAGGATAGATTTTATGTGATGCAGATGTGCCTGTGGCTAAACGAAAGCGCCAAGGAGGTGGCAATGTGTTGATAGAGCTGGAATTATTGACCAAACCATTACTGGTTCATTCAATGTCGATGAAGACGTTAAAATGGATAGGTCTAACTATTGCGGTTACATGGGAAAGATTTTTTTTCATGGTACAAGTCCAAAACTCGCAGTTTCAAAGTGAAGTGTTTATTTATGCATGACACTGTTCCTTCCCATGTATCTAAAATGCTCTACGGGAGAGATAAAGGAATGACTACCATCAAGTTCCAATTTGAATCAAATCGAAAATTTATGATCAATTGTGAAGATGAAATTATATGAATGCGGTAATCAACATGGCAGCAAAGCAAACCTATGGAAAGCAATTAAAACAACCATGTCTGAAATTGTACATGCTGAAGTAAAAAATGTAACAAAATTAATGAATAATAGATTATTGGATGTTATTGGGAAGAGGGTCACTATATTAAGACTTTTCATTTGTTTGTCATTTGTTCTAGTATAGGTATCGAACAATTGTTGATGATTTTATTACCTTATTATTGAAGTAAAAAGTAATTTTTTGGTTTTGCAAATTTCAGACTGCAGTTTTTATAACAAATCCAATAACTTTTTCGCGTGAAAGGTTTACAGGAGAGAAGATAACGGAATCGTCATCACCAAGTCCCGATCTGAATCCGATCGAAAATCTATGGTCAATTGTGAAGTGGAAATTATATGAAGGTGCAATTAAAACAACCATATAGGAAATTAACCCTGCTGAAGTAAAACTTAACAAAATCAATAAATACTAGATTGATGACTCTTATTGAGAAGAAGGGTCACTATACGAGATTTAAGTGCTTCAAAGACTTAACATATTCGCTTGTTATTTCTTTTGGATAGGTGATAATCAATTGTTAATGATTTCATTACATTGTTATTGAAATAAAAAGTGATTTTCTGGTTTTGCATAATAAATTCGTACTGAAGTTTTTATAACAGGGCATGCTGAAACTATCTAAAAAATAAAACTTTGTTTTCATGATTAAATTCAGCGTTTAAAATTTGACAAATCTTTTTTTTCAAACAAAGTAGATAAAAAGGAAAAAAGTGTGCACTATTTTTACATAGTATCTGCTCTTTTATGACAGTGAATTCTGGCGAATATTTTCACAGATGAAAAAGAGACTTGAAGCGATAGTATTTCTGCCGATGAATGCTGAAAATACCATGGATAGAAAATTTGAACTACGAGAAAATAATAAAGAAAAAAGGACCAAGTAAACTAATACTAACTACAAGAATGAGACAGCAGAAACTCTTGGGATAAATAGTAAGTAAAGAAGGTTTGGCGAATTTAACACACACAGGACATAGTAAAGTTAAAAAAACAAGTGGAAACAGCGAATAAACTATATGTTGAGTTTCTGCGAATGGATAGCACAGTAAACAAAGATGATGGCAAAGGACCCAAATTTACTTAGAGCAATAAAAGAGAGGAAGTTGTGGAGTGCTATGATCTCCTGTCACCTGAAAAGCTATGGCAGATAGAAGAATATTGGAAAATTTTAGAACCAAGACAAACTATTACTACACGATGATACAGTGAGCAACTGTCTCGTTTGAATGACACAGAATAAAACTGTTTCCTTTTTCATCGAAGCTGGCTAGA